GTGTGTGTGTGTGTGTGTGTGTGTGTGTGTGTGTGTGTGTGTGTGTGTTTGTGTGTGTGCGTGCGCTGCTGGCCATGAAGCATGGGTATAATTATAACAAAAGAACCTGTGAATTGTCTCATTTTGCCATCCCTGAGGATAATGTGCCAACACAAGTTTGTAATGAAAATGTGAATGATCTTAACATTGAGCTCTCTATTCAAAAATCTTGTGTACAGTATTTTCACATATAGATAGCAGGAAATGAATTACACGTATTCTTAAAACCTCAGATCAAAGCTTGGATGTTATAATCATCTTTGAATCATTTTGAGAGGAAAACTGGTCATACCCACAAACAAAACTACTGCACAGACAGCTTCAAGTTAAATTTAAAGAGGAGATATGTGAACCAAGGTAATTGTGACTTGGAATTATTTTAGAGAAAATCTGGGTTTGTAGCACAAGGCTGAAGCTAAAGGTCCTCATTTAAATCATTTGATTAATGAGGCTCAAACGTTTAGGTTTTGATAGAATGCTGACCAAACAAAATAATGTCAGATTAAAAAATAAAAAAACTAAATAAAAAAAAAAACATTAACCATTTATGTTTTGGCTTACTCTGCCTTTGACTAGTACTTTGGTTAATTTCTGTGTAACTCACATGATGTAACACTCTGCTGCAATGACGCAGAATATGAGCCTGATTGCCATCCATTATCTGTAGAGCTGCAACACTGTGTAGAGCAAATGAGCTTTTGTCTACATTTAGCTTTGCAAAAGGACAAAAACAAGCTACTATGTTTGTTTTTTTGTCTCTGTATTTTGACAACATGGACAGGTAACATGGAGTGATACATCACTGAAAATGGCCGACTGGCTGTGCTTTAGCATGGTAGCTATCTTAAAAACGGGCCATGGACAACACAAAGAGAACTAGACAAAATATCACTCTTAGGGAGCTTCTGAGTCAAATCTCTCAGGACCAAACAGAGATAGACCATGGGTGGCTTAGCAGCCAAAAGCTATTCTAGGAAATGCTTGCACAGTCCTTCTCCACTAAACCCCTGGCTTTCTGCTGCACTTCGGAAATAAACGACACCAAAGGCTGAAAATGTCTTTGGCTCCTTTAATGCTTCTTCCTACGTTTTACTCATACAGAACCTGAGACATTAATCTCAGGTACAATGAGGACATAATGAGAAGAACCGAGTCAGGGACGCAAAGCCACAGATGCTGTAAAATGAATGAGCAGGCACAGAGTTTAGAGAGCTATATATTGTGAAAAGGGCAAAGAAAATGATTGCAGATGATCATTATAATGAGCTGAACATTTGGTTGGTGATTTTCCAGGCATGAACAATTCAAGACATAGCACTAGAGACGTCCTGGTTGTATGGAGATACTTTAAAAATTAGTAAGCAAGGCGACAACTTATTGGTCTGTTCATATTTGACAGCGTTGACTCCATCTGAGACTACAGGTCTTGACAATTCTGTCGCACCCTGTGTTCAAACACACAACAACCATTCTTTATGCAGAATGTTCAGGCCTTCCCATAGAGCTTATACCTCTATATTTCAGTTTACTTTGTGTGTGCTCATGCTCTCTGTGGTACAAACTCATTGTGTTTTGCATAGATTGTAAATGAAGAACATAATATACTGTCTCATAATGCAGCATTTACAGCTGATTTATTAAAGGGAACATTGCACTACACTTTAAAAGAGCATCAATTAGATGAATAAAATAAAAGTGTTTCATACACCTACAAGAGGAATCTATTATCATAATACAGTGCATTCCTTTTCACTTGCTTTCATATACTACACTTTGTATAGTACATGTAACTTGCAGGAAATTGGATATGGAGTGTTTGTGCTGTGTCTGCACTCTCCACTGCATATTCTCTGATACACATGGCGAAAGCTCAACTGGTTTTTGCCTCTCTTGTAATACAATAAAAAAAATAAAATGTTAACAGATGGTATACAACGTTTTAGGTTTTGTAGTGTATTCCACTTCATGTCAAAGGTACACATTTTTTTATAATTTGGATTCTAAATTAATTCAATTCATAAATGTACAAAAGGGTGCAGCAGGACTAAATTCCATGACAGGTTTGTAAATTAAACTGATATAGAACCTGAATCATAACACATTAAATTTCTAAAATAATACAAGTGCCCCAACTAATTAAAAAAAGTAAATTAATCAAACCAGAGGCAGGCACATGGCCTGTTGTTGGCAAATCAGTGTGTCAGAGTTCTATCAAAATATGTTAGCTGAATATTTTTCTATTACTGACAAGTGTCATCTAATTATTTGAAACATGCCAATTAAATTTATATTTCAGCTACTTTTTTAGTTATTATTACTCCAAGGCACATCACATCACTATGTTAACCTTTTTSTTATATGACTGTGGAATAACTTTTTTTTATTATTTTACTAAAACTCATTTATAGATATTTTTCTATGAAATCCTCAACATTAAGCATGTTTTTCACAAGCATATTAGTAGTAGTGTAGATCTTAGAAAAATATAAGTACAATTTTATATATAAATATTTTTCTTACCACTGTCAGACAAATGCATAAAAGTTCTGTATACGCACATTTGGTCTAAGGAAGAATGTTTAACAAAACCCAAACAAATTAAGAATACTCTCTTTTTCAGGTGAAATATTTCAGGTCATATTATGCATTTTCAGCTTAAGTTAGGAAACCCTTTGGAACAGCATTTAGTTTGTATTTGTAACAAGAGTCACATATTTTCCATAAATGGGATGACAATGTGTAGCAAAGTGTATAAAAGGTTGAGGATTTTGAAAGATAACACCATGTACAAAAAATAAAATAAAATGGCCAGAGAAAACCAGTAGCTACCAATAAAATAAAACAGTCTGTAGTTAGATAGATAAATACTTTGTGAAACACTGACTAAAAAAACTGTAATATTTTATTAACAACAGTTCAGATGTGTTGACAAATGGATAAGTGTTGCATTTCAGCAGAAGTACACCACATTTGTGAAACATGGGGATGGTATCAGCATGATTTGGACTGTCTTGTGTATGTGTGCAAATGAAACAATATAAAAAATGTCTTATCAAATAAAAAAGGTAGTCTTAAAATCACAGGTTGTTCTCCTAAAAGTACTTTGATTTGCAATGACTAACATAGAGACAAAAGTTTTATTTCAAAGTGAGAATAATTTTAAATGAGTAGTTTATGACAAAGTTGGTCTAACTGAAGAACAAAATTTGCGTTAAGGTAATGAAAAAGGGGACTCCTAAAGGTATTTTTTGATTTACTACTGCAGTATGCACCTGACGCTAATGCCACATGCCGACAGTATATTTGAAGTACAGGCAGTATAAGAATAAAAATTTTAGTGTTGCACAAAATCACAATAGGAAGGCCTCCAGAAAAGGGGGTTTAAACACATAAAAATAATATGTTTGTAGCATATAGCCTAGAATTGTGTTTTCACACGTATAGTCAAGTAAGTTGTGTTTTTTTGTCTCCATCAAAAATTTTAGGAACACTTTCATTATAATCAAAATAGTTCATACAGTTCCTCTTTAAATATACATTAACAAAGAATGAGACCTCACCTTGACCAGCTCATAATGTTGAATTCCATTTATCCCCACGTCAGGGTCAAAGGCCGATGGCACCGGGTATCGGGTGTTGATGGCTGTGTTCTCTGGGATTGAGATGTTTATAACAGTGGATTGAAAAAGGGGCGCATTGTCGTTGACGTCCTCGATCAGGAAACGAATCTTAACCAATCTGAAGATCTCGTCGGGCAGCACAGCCACCTCGATCTCGTAGTAGCAGCGTTTCTCGTTGAAGACCCCTGAGCACAGCTTCTCCCGGTCAATTCTGTGACTGGTGGTAAAAATCTCCCCCGTGTTGGCCTCCACCCTCACCAAAGGCACGTCGCCCGTTTTGTACACAGGCTTAAACTGCAGCGGCGATGATAGCCTGATGTTAGGGTCGAGATGGAGGTCGAGGTCCTTGCGCAGATTCCCAATGCGGACATTCTCTGGCTGCTCCTCCTTCACGATGTAGTCCCTCTCCTGGGCCTTGCATAGTAAGACCAAACAGGTCAGCAAGATCACCAGTGCATGCACCCGACTTGCCAAGTTCATACTCAAAACTCGATGGGAGCTTCACGTCTACTGCGGCGATTCACTCTGAAGACACACAAAAGAGAGAAAAGAAAGGCAAGAGAAAGACAGAACGCACAACGTCAATGAAGATAATGACATRGCATTCATGTTTTGCTGTAATTAGTACTGATTTCTGACATGGAGCGTTGTCATTATGAACCAGCATCCTTCCTATGTCTTTGAGAGCAAATTAATGGCAGTTTTACACAATAAACCTCTGATGACATCAACTGAGTAAGGACACAAGAAAAGGTTAGTAGTTTGTACTTTCCATCAATCCATTTCATTGTTGTGCTCACACCATTATTGAGAACTGTAAAAGCTGTTGAGTTTACTGTTGCTTTAAAAAGCTTTTTCACAAACTACCTTGTCTGAAAAAGAGTAAGTATGCAAAAAAAAAGAGGGAAAAGAATTTACATTTGAATTAGTCAACACGAAGCATCTTCATAAAGTGCACCTCACATCCAGATTTCAGCTCATTTGGAGGAAGCAGAACTAAGCCTTAAGGAATGGTGCTTTCACGCAAGAATACACATAAACACTTGCACTTGTGCTGCTTGACAGAAGCTATTAATGGAGAGCCTCATTTGTTCTGAATGTAAACAATCGAGCTCTCAAACATTTCATGTCAGCCCATGTGTGTAAGCAAGCCCGGTATGATAAGAGCTCCGTTTAGACGGGAGCGAAACAAGATTGTGAATTGCTTCATTGTGAAAGCCACCATCAGTCAAATTAGTGACATTTAATTATAACTTTGCTGAATCCCAACAAATGTTTTCTCTCCCTTTTTTTATTAGCATCAAATCGAACCCATTCCCCAATGGCATTTTTTTTGAATGGATTGTTAAAAACCCTTAAATGTTGAGCAAAAATCTTGAGAGGTGTTCCACATCATTTGATGCTGTTGTTCTACAAAATCTTTCACTGTTTGATATGTGTAAACGCTCACCAAAGGGCAGGAACCCAAATTGCCAACACCCAAGTAGGTCATTGGAATATGATGAAGGAGTCACGCTCGGCAATGCCTTCCCTGCCAGCAGATACTAGAATAAAATATTGACTGCTGTCCTCCAGTTAATTAGTTGGTTACTGGGGAGTTACTTTGTGTGGTTTGCTAGCTGACATTTTGACTTATTCATTCATTTAGCACATTATCAAGGCATGTTTAACAAACGTATTCCATCATTTCCAGCACAACACAGGTCAATTCAGATTTGTCCGCCCAGGCTTTGTAAGAATAAGCTTCTGGCAGCTGAAACCTGATATTATGTAAACATACATACGTGTACAGTAGAAACACCAGATTTTTATCACTGCCTTTTTTATATATTCAATTCAAATGTCATATTACAGTTACAATACATTTCCTTCTCATAAAAATACTGTTTTTTTATATCTAGCACAATTTACATATATACCAGCTAATTTTATTACTGCAGGTTTAAATCTAACCCTCCCCCTTCAGTGTTTATTATTACTAGCATATGACTTTTTCTCATGATATTGGTTTGTACTCATAAAGCAGCTGCCTTGAAATCAAACATTCATTTCTCTCAAAGAATGGCAAAGGCTGACAGTCATCACACAAACAGTTTACAGATGGTGCTTTATAATGTACGGCTCCTACCTTTTGTAAAAAAAAAAAAGAAAGAGTTCTGGAGAATTAAAGTATTTTCTACTTTGAGAAATTTCTGTCCCTCAAACGAGTCCTAAAACGGTGTGACTACCTAAACTGAACAACAGGGGGTCCTCTAAATTGGCAAGGCATCGGTGTTCATAGGCACTAAAATTCTCGTCTGGCTGACAGAAGGGAATTGATTAAAAATAAGGATTTCATTAAGCTGGTTTTGAATTTGCAACAATTGCAAGGCATTCGTGAACCATGTGCAGACAAACACCACAYATCTCATAAAGCAAAGTCACACGAGACTCATTACGGGACAGATGGACTAAAAAAAGCATGGCTGACACTGACCATGTATAAGGATTTTTGATATTATTATTATTAKTTTTACTCTTCACATTGAGCGCAGACAGCCCTGTCCTGTCAACACACTGATGAAAAATATCCTATTAGTACCAGTGACACACTTTACTTAGAAATGCGCTCCTTCCAAGCTGTGATGATCACCACACTGTCCAAGGCTGAGCTCGCATAATGAAGTTTAAATTACATTCTTAAATGGGATGTGATTTGGTGAAGAGAAAAATCAGAACAGATCAAAGGATGATCTCGATTTCCTCTTCATTGTAAGTGATAATGATGTTCCACTGGATGAAGGGGTGCAAATGCAGGAGGAAAAAAAAGACACGCTTGCAGTTTAACATAATGTTAGAGAGCAAAAATTTCTCCGCACACGAGATTTGCACCGACAGATACTTCTCTCAAATCATGTGATGAGATGTTGCGTAGATGTACTGTATGTTGTTCTTGAACATATAGGGGTTTAAATTTACTTYCTGTCTTTTATTATTTTCACGCGTATCCGTCGGTGCCATGATTTCTCGACATTTGCACTTTCTTTTCACTTGTCACAGCTCTTTACAAACCTGTCCACGAGGGATAAGCTAGGTGAGAGAAGAAATTGTGCTGCAGGGGAGGGGGGAAAAAAATAAAAAGGTAAGAGGGGGGCAGATTCCAGGTGTCACTCAGAGTGTCTCCATTGCTTACATTTCACTAGTCCCCTGAAATGCTATTTTGAGCCCTAGACAGCAGGTTGAATCCTGTAGGCAAACTCAAACTTTCCTCTTGGGAAACACAGTGAAGAGCTGACCAGCCCCGAGATCCCTTTGCGCGACAGCATGATGGACGGGTCTTCCTGGTGTTTGCGGCCGCTGAATGTAGTGGTGAGTGGAAGGTGGTGGTGGTGGGGGGGGCGTAACGCGACTGTCACTCCCTACCTTCCCCTCGAAGGTGGCCTTATCAGAAACTTTCAGTGTGGTTACTCTGAGGCAGGCACCCAAGAGGTTTGAAGTCCTTTTAAACTGTCAAAGACACCACCCAGCCCCCAAGTCTTTTGTTCCCTCAGCTGCACCTATTATTGGTATTATTGAAAGTGGATGTTTTCATAAAAGAAGACGATGATCTTTAAGGATCATGGCGGCCTGACAAAATAACTCTGTTGTGATCAGACATCATTTTCTGGCCACAAAGTCAAAGGAGTTCTCTTCAAAATGTAAAGAAAATAAACATTTTCTCTTAAAAAAAAACTGTTGTCATTAAATTTGTGCTGCAATGTGGGATAAAAATGTTCTTTTATGTTAATAATACTATAACTAACAGTTGAAATTGTATAAACATATCTGATATTAAAATAAATGCATATATGTGGTAGCAATAATATAAAGTTAATGAACATGTTTTGTTTAAAAGAAACATATTTATTTTACAGTGTATTGAGATCCAAAGTATTTAAATTGAACTGAAGTTTGTGGTAAATAAATAGTCTCTTAGTAATTTCTTGCCTTCTCCATTAGCAAAATGACATGCTAATAATATTCAGCGCTGTAATTGTGGACCTGAAGAGGGCAGTCCACGCAAGCCAAAACTCAATAATGACCAAAAGTTTGTTCAAACGTTTACGTCAGTTTCATTTTTGGATCTATTATACATTTAACACATTTCTTAATTATTGATATGTACTGGCAAAAAAGTGTCAAAGAATCCAACATTAAAACAACGTTAAAGAATGGGAAAATCCATACCAAGAAGAAACACAAGGACCTATTTCCTAACRTTGGAAAATCGCTGAATAAACCCATTAGAATTCTATCGCTGTTCATATTTTAAGTGTTCATTGAAAACATGATGGATTCTGAAATCAATCTCCAATGACAAGTTCAGTGGGGTTAGTCAGATTAATTAAAATACCATTTACTGTAAGTGAAAAGGTATTGCTTGTTTTAGTAAATAGCACTAAYTTATTGACTAGAAATGATGTGAAATAGGAAAACAAAATCTGTTAACTTCATRACGACTTTTGTGGTGACTTTGGTAAAAGGCTACAGGAAAGAAAAGATGAAAACCTGCAGCAATGTAAAAAGATAACATCTGACTCCTAGAAGGAGGAATAAGGGCTCGGGCACTCTAAGAACAAAACATAAAACATACTGGTGATTTTTTTTCCCCGCTGCAAGAACCATGAGCAACCTCCAACCCCAAAAATAACAGAAATTTTCGTTGCATTAAAAAAAAATAAAAAAATAAAACCAATTTCTCCACAAATGTGTTGGATTTTTGTCTCAGTGATTCATATTTTGAACATATACATGAGAAATATTGGTTTAAAAATGGTTTTATTTATTTGGTAAAGGCAAACTCCTTGTTTTGCTCGCTGCATTTTCCCCTCCCTTCTTCTTTTAGGTGAAACATTTGGCTCACCTTTTGGAAAGTTCACATCACAGTTTGCTCTGATCCTGCACTTTGTTCTGATTGATGACAGTAGACACCGTACAGTGGGTAGATTATAAACCACAGTAATCAAATGTGGTTTATATTAAAACCAGGTGGATGTATATTGAATTGATAGTCCCATAGGTCTGTGACACGTGAGCCGCTCAAGCAGGCGCGCACTGCTGCCGCGCACCCACGCATCCAGCTCTGCGCCCAAGACGCTGAGGAACCCGGGCTGAAAAGTACCTGCAGCTGCATCCAGTTTAAGGCCTGACTGTGCGCTAATCAGTGCAAAATGAAACTAATAATGCCCGAAGTCACGATCAACCGCGCACTCCACTCTCTTAAYGCAACAACTTGGGGTTTCCCTGTCGATTTACGCTCGGTTATGTCTTTGGAACAGCTTTAGGAAAAAATCCACAGAATCCAGTTAAATATATAATGTCATATAAAAAAACAATCAAGTGAACTAAATATCACTGTTTTCAGTAGTTATTAGGAAAAGAGACCGGGTCCGCGCAGGCAATTAAGGAGACCGGAGTTAATGCGGACAAAAAAAGAAAAAAAAAATCCCATTTGGTTTACAGAACAGATCAGAGGAGAAGAGAGCAAAAATAAAGGAGACTAAGCAACATATCTGGAAATGAACAGAACATAAAAATAAAAATGCAAAAATGAAAAGCACAGCTCACCTTCTCTGCTTGAAATGATGGGGAATTCAGCCGCGAGTGCCGTCGCGAACAGACATCTGTGATTTAGAGAAAAAACGAAGTGCCATGAATGAAGCTGAAGTGGGGGAAACGGGGAGGAAGGCTCCTCATCTAGAGACGGCAGGGAAAGAACCGAAGTAGAGGGAAGGTTGTAGGGGGAAAAAAGGTGTTATCCACTACAAAAACTTATCCATGTGCTGGGGGGGAAAATGCGGATCCTCGACTGAATAAGGAGGAAATTAAAAAAAAAAACCAAGTTTGTTTAAAAAATAAGAAAAAATCGACTGTACTTCCTCTTCTTCCGATGTCTTTGACTCTCAATCCCACAGTCGGAAAAATGCGCAGTGATCCAAGCTTGTTTAACATAAACTTTTTTTTTTAAATCCCTAACCGAAACTGCCTTGAAATGTGCAGCAATTTTCACGTGCGCCTTTTTTTTCTTTGCGCGATTATTCAGACGTCAATCCAAGAGCACCAATAATAATCAGACAAAAAAAATACTTCTAATAAGCCTAATTCATGAAGCAGTCACTTGTTTTTAGACTGGATGTAGGTTGCRCACGCTTCCCCAGAAAACTCTTAAATGAGGGATGCGGAGAGCGCATCAAACCCCCCCAGTGGAGTTGGATCAAAGTGTGCCTCTGTGCAGCATCACTTACAGGAGCCGGGATAGGCGGTTCACCGTATCTGTCTGCTAAGCTGTGGATGTCTCAGTAGTATTGTATGAACTCGGCTGCTGAACACTGCCCACCTCTCTCTCCCTCTCGCTCTCCCTCCGCCTGACATCATGGCTGAAGGAGGAGCCAGGCGCAGATTTAAGAGCCCCGGCTCCTCTTAAAGCCGCACTGCGTTGGAGAGCCGCGCTCGCGCAGAGACGTGCGGTTGGGGAGATCTCTCTGTGGGTAGACGAGGACCAGAGCTTGCCTCGGTTCGTACAGCCCCACAAAAAAATGTGTTTGAAAGCAAAGAAAGAGAGAAAAAAATGGGGGCACTGTTCTCTTTTCTAAGCCTTGTCCCGCGGCTTCCAGTTTGCGCGCTGGCTGCWAGAAGTTCTTCATTTAATGAGAAGATTCAAATTCTCTTAAAGCTTTTCTGACGGAAACGCGCAGCAGGCATCATTTGTCAGTGATGAGGAATACATGTTCAAAATATTATATAAATAAATACAGCATRAGTGCCTGCATGCAAACCATTTAAACGCGTGAAAACATTAAAACATACTTTATTAAAAAGGACTGAAAATTGACATTAAACTGTACACATTAGTAATCAAAACCGTGTTGATTGGAAATAACCTTTGGTTAACCTTCAGATGTGAAACATCAGCAGTTCATGCTGCAGCTGTGGGACACATTGTCCAGTCAATACAAAAGATATGTATATTGATCGCTTTAAAAAATCACTGATTAAACAATGCCCAGCTGTGGGAAATGTGATGAATATCCACTCATCATTACTTGTAAGTATCACCTGCCACTGAGGGCGAAAAGGTGACAGTGTTTCTGCTTCTGTCTATATTGAGCAACATGTCACTGAATGGTTTTTAATGAAAGTTTTAGAAATAAGTCACGTTTCCATCCAATTGCAATGCATATTTTTAGGAAAGTTTTTAAAATGTCGCAATAAATAGTGAATAAATAAAGAAATAATGAAAATTAGGCAGCACGGTGGCTCAATTGGTAGAGCTGTTGCCTYTCAGCAAGAAGGTCGCTGGATCAAATCCCAGCCAGGGACCTTTCTCGAAAGAGTTTGCATATTCTCTCTGCGCATGCGTGGGTTCTCTCTGGGTGCTCTGGCTTCCTCCCACAGACCACAAACATGAATAATTGACTAATGACTAATTGGTTAATTGGTAACTGTAAATTGTCCCTATGTGTGAGAGAGTGAATTGTTTGTCTCGTTTGCCTCTATGTGTGGCCCTGTGATGGACTTTTCCAGGGTGTACCCCGCCCCTCGCATTGTGATTGCTGGATATGGGCACCAATAACCCCCGTGACCCTAAGGAATAAATGGGTATAGATAATGGATGGATGGATGGATGGATAATGAAAATTARGCGTTTCCATCTACTGGTTTGGAGCAAATTAACCAAGCTACACAACGGGTAAATACGTTAGTATTGTGAGTCATGTGAGGAAAATGTTTGCTACATCAAAACATATTCAGCTAATGTGTTTCCATTTCCCCTTTTGCGCATTAGGCTAACGCTTTATTTTATTTTTAATTTTTTTGAAAATCCAAAAACCACCATCAAGTGTAAAAGCTTCTTTTGCAAAACTGAGRGTTTTTTTCCACTATATCAACCATTTCTAATTTGATACTTCAAAATGCACATTAAAAAACATGGCTACTGAGCTCAATTTTTTTTTAAATTTTTATTATTTTTTATTATAAAGTTTAATCATTTAAAACAAAACGACATACATTCAACATACAACAACAAAAAAACAAATCTAACTAAATGAAAGGTAACAGAAGAATAAAAGAATCTCATGATTTCTGCCCCTTTTTCTTAAATAAATTCAGTCAAAAAAATCGTCAATTTACAACATACAAAAAAGAAAGAAAAAACAATAAAGGTTTAATTCTTTCTTGAGTAACAATTCATGCCTTATACTCACATATTTCTCTAACGGATTTACCTTTATCATTTTCTTAAATATACACATTGATTATTATATCTATGAACTAAAACGTTATCCTCCAGATTATTCCATAATTTATTCCCTGTACTGAGGTACTCCATTCCTTCAAACTGGCTCTAATTTTAGGTTTCAGAGTCAAACTAATTGAAGATGGCTGCTACAGCAAATTTAGTAAGCACGCACAAAAATAGCCGCAATTCACACACTTTCTCAGTGTAAGACGATATTAGTGTAAAACGTTGTCAAGCGATATGCATTCCTTCAAAGGATGCTAGACCAGCATTAAATGTGTTTTTATTTTATAAAAGGTCCATGTTGCAGCTGRTTTGTCCTTTAAACTAGAGCTTCTAAAATTGGGGTGAAGACCCCACTGCGGGCGGTGAGACACCGATCAGGTGGTCTAGTGGTGATGCTGCATATTTAAATTAATTGTAAAACTGTCTGATAGAAGCAGATTTTTACTTGTAACTGGAGATTTAAAAATAAATAAATAAAAAAAACAAGAAGTGCAAACTCAATTAAACATTGATGTAGTGGTTGTTAAAGCTGCTGTCATTATGTCTTTGTTTAACTGTCATTTTAGCTTTGTTTGTTGACTTCAAACAGCTGTCAAGTCCGCTGCTGTGTTTTAGAAGTTAGAAGCAAAAATAAAGGGAACAACTGCTTTAAATCTTTTTTTTTAATATATAAATCAAAAGACTCTAACTTTAACTCATTTAATGCAGGGTTTTGGGAAAAGCTTCTTTTATTTTTTTTCAAGACTATTTTACATCTTACCACTCATCAAGTGACTTTATTTTTTGATCAAAAGAGGCTGCAGAGAGTCTGCAGAACAGTAAAAAAATACAAACAATACTCAGCATTTATTGTGGCAAAACACAGCATACACACTGTGTAATCTTAAAAACCAAAGAGAATTAGAAGGTTAAAAGAACTTTGAGTTTACTTCCTATCTGAAGAAACAATGAACTGGCAGAAATCTATTATGTTTGATGTGTCAAACTATAATTGAACATTAGGTTTTTTTTATTGTACAGCCTTTGTGTGTGTGTGTATGTGTGTGTATTAGTGTGGAACGTGTCACTGATGTTTAATCCTTGAACAAATCAAAGAAAAAGTAAAACTTAAGATAAAAACAAAATTGCAAATGTAACAACTTAGTGCAAAGACAACATTATACATTTTTATTTGGTTATTATTTAGTAAATAAAATAAAATTATGAGTTTTCAGTAATTATGAAACAACAATATAGACTCATGCTACATCACACCAGTAAAAGTTGTATACCACCCACCGCCTTTCATGGCAAAGTTTTAATTTACCATCACAGCGGATGGGTTGGTGCTGTCCAACATGTTTTAGACGTTTCCTGCTTCAACACACCTGACTGAAATTAATTGACAGGCTTCTGCTATTGGTGACATTCCGAGTCGGTAATTTGAAAGAGCTGAGCTGAAGCAGGAAAACAGCTAAAACTTATRATACAGTGGGTCACGAGGAACAGGGTTGAAGACCCCCGGCTTAGAGTTTGTGTTGAGGACAATTCTCAGCTACTACCACATAAACTTTACCTTGTTAACTGCTATTTGGAGTAAGCTAGCCATCTTGAACTGGGTAAACTTTAAATCATCTAAAATATTCAGAGGGCCAAGTAATGATGAACAAATTCACGACTGAATTGGGAATTTTGGTTATTAATACTTTACTGGAGKAAWTATTTTTGTCTGCTATCTTTTTACTTCTACTTCTTACATTTTAAAAATGCCAAAAGGATTTCGTTTCTATATCCCTTTGGCTTGTTTACATACAGGCTTGTTCTTGGAGAAAAAAGAAAGAAAGAAAAAGAATCTATCCAGATACATGGCCCTTCCTGAATAAAATGAATTTGACTGTTGTTGGATGAGAAGTATAAATATGTACCATTCTGATGCCCTGTTGGTTTGTACTCAATCCGTCACACCTGTATGACACAAAAATCACACTCCAGCAGAACAAACTGTAGCAGACGTATGTAGCCTGGCATAAAGATGACCGTGGCAGAGATGTGGCTGGAACGGGTAGCCTAGTATGCATCTCACATTTTTCAACATTAACATTTAAATAAATTTTATAGTCACTATTACCTTTAAAAATGTATTTTGAGGAGGTGAGGTTGTGCACTGAAGACCCCCTGTGGCAGAGCCTAACGCCTTTCCCCAACTTACATTAGTTTTAAATCCAGTTTTACACTTTTACATGCATAAAAAGCTTCAGTATACTTGTACTTCCTAAAAAATATTTTTAAACCCTAGTATCTATACTTCTACTGAATGTAAATCCTGGCTCTGAATCTGGCTCTGTGTGTAGACTTGCTAGCATGCTGCTATTAAGGTTGCAGGAAAAACGTGGACTGGATCTCATGTGGTGGGAGAGTACTCTGTTTGAACAAGTGGAATGGATTGGATAACAACACACCAAAGAGGATCTCTACTTTAAACCATAAATTAAAGGGAAACTGACAGATTTATGATCATAAGTTTTATGAAATATTAAAATGTTATTTATTTTGACTGCATCATGTTGAATTTTTGTGAAAAAAATTGAAAAAAATTACACCAAAATAATTTATGGGGGGCTTTAAAATATTTTAGGGTGGCTCCAGCCCCCCTAAAATAGGCCTAGTGATGCCACTGGTCAACAYCACTTTGTTCTTGCAGCTGCGTCATAGAGAGCAAAGTTCTTCATTTCTCGCAGAGCATAAATCCAGCTTTCTAATGGCTGGTATTGATCTCACAGCTCAACGTGAGAAATGGCAATAATGGCAGATTATTTGAAGGGAGTTAAATGACCCATGTCAACCTTGTTTTCTGGAATATGATTTTTTTTCTTCCACCCTCAGCCTGAAATGCCAATCAAGAAAACAAAAATGTTTTTTTGCAGTTGGAAGAAGACATTTTCTCTTTAACACATGATTAATGCTGTCTGTTTCACCCCACGCTGTGATATTTTCCTCACTTGTGCCGACAACAACAATAATCAGTACAAAATCTAATGGAATGCTTTCTGCTTTCCTTTTTTATGCATTGTGAGTCTGAATGTGTGGGTGTCA